ATAAGATCCCCCCTCAGTCTTCTTTTCTTCAGACTAAAAAGACCCAAGTCCCTCAGTCTTTCCTCATAAGAGAGATGCTCCAATCCCCTGATCATCTTCGTAGCCCTCTGCTGGACCCTCTCCAGCAGTTCCCTGTCCTTCTTGAACTGGGGAGCCCAGAACTGGACACAATACTCCACATGTGGCCTCAGCAGGGCAGAGTAGAGGGGAAGGATGACCTCCCTCAACCTGCTGGACATGCTTTTCTTGATGCACCCCAGGATGCCATTGGCCTTCTTGGCCACAAGGGCACGTTGCTGGCTCATAGTCATCCTGTTGTCCACCAGGACTCCCAGGTCCCTTTCCACAGAGCTGCTCTCCAGGAGGTCAGCCCCCAACCTGTACCGGTGCATGGGGTTATTCCTCCCCAGATGCAGTACCCTACACTTGCCCTTGTTCAATTTCATAAGGTTTCTCTCCGCCCAATTTTCCAGCCTGTCCAGGTCATACTGAATGGAGGTACAGCCTTCCGGTGTGTCAGCCACTCCTCCCAGTTTTGTGTCATCGCAAACTTGCTGATAGTACACTCTATCTCTTCATCCAGGTCATTGATGAATATACCCGTTAGACATAAACTGTTGACCAAGTCTGGGATGAGGTCTGGATCCAGCTGCACCTAGACTCCTCTCTGAGAAGGAGTTTAGAAACCAAGGGGGTCCTTTCTGAACCTCATGACTCAACAGGGGGGTCTCCCTGACAGACTGTCTGACCCTGTCCCCTATGCAATAAATAACCAAGTGTACCTTGCCATCGAATCTTGTTCAACCACTTATCATGGAACTTTGTTAACTCACTGTTTTATATTAATAAAGTACATCGTTGCTTCTGTCTTATGAGTGAAGTGCATGACTCCTTCCACAACAAATTGGCGTAGTCAGCAGGATGACAAGTAGTATCACTGATTATTTACAGATGCATGGAGTGAAGAGTCCCAACTTCTCAGAAGCATGGGCTCATGAGAGTTGGCATAGTTAGGAAACTCCACACGAGCTCTCTACAGCCATCCCAAAAGCTGCTTTCTTACAAGCCATGCACAAACAAGGGCCCCATGATGTTCTATTATCTGCTACGTTCGGTTTCACAATGTTAAACTCGGTGATCAGAGGAGCCCCAGCAATTCTTAAAGCCCATCTAGTTGCAAAACGAGATGGGATCAAGAAAGACACAGGACACAATGAGGGACAAGG